ATTCCTCATATTTTCTCCGGAGACAATCATGTTATCTGCACATAGAAACTGTCTTATCTGTCTTTCCAACTTGTATGCCTTTTACTCACCTTGTCAAAGTGACTATATTACTCAACTCTGTTGAATAAGAGTGATGAAAGTAACATGTTGCCTTGTTCTTGATTTTAGGGGAAAGCATTTAATCTTTTGCCATTACTTAGGAGAATAGCTTTTGGGTTTTTGTAGATGTTATTTATGAAATTGAGATAATGAACCTCTAATTCTAATTTGCTAAGAGTTTTGATCACAAATGGAAAACCTGGATATCCACATGCAGAAGAATGAAATTGCACTCTTATCTAATACCTTGTAAAAAAAAAAAATCAACTCAAAATGGGCTAAAAACTTAAAGGTAAGGCCTAAAACTATAGAATAAAACATAGGGAAAGAGCTTCTTGACATTGGTCTGGGCAGTGATTTTTTAAATAAGATCCTAAAAGCACAGGCAACAAAAGCAAAAATAGACAAATGGATTGCATCAAACTGAAAAGCTTCTGCATAGCAAAGGAAATACTCAACAGAATGAAAAGACAACCTCCAGAATGGGAGAAAACAACTGATAAGGAGATAATAAACAATAAATATATGTGAAACTTCTATAACTAAATAACCAATTTTTAAAATGAGCAAAGGACCTGGATATACATGTCTCAAAAGAAGACATACAAATGGCCAACAGATATATGAAAAGATGCTCAACATCACTAGTCATCAGGGAAATGAAAATCAAAACCACAATAATATATCATCTCACACCTATTAAAATGTCTATTATCAATGGCAAAAAATAAGGTCTGGTAAGGCTGTGGAGAAAGGGAACACTTGTGCATTGTTGGTTGGAATGTAAATTGGTTCAGTCACTATGGAAAAGAGTATGGAGGTTCCTCAAAAATTAAAACTAGAACTACCACATAACTCAGCAATACCACTCCTGGGCATATATCCAGAGAAATGAAGACAAGATCTAGAAGAGGTATCTGCATTTTCATGTTCATTGCAGCATTATTCACAATATCAAAGATATGAAAACAACCTAAGCATCCATCAAAGGACAAATGAATTACAAATGTGGTATATATGTGCAGTGGAATATTATTCATCCTTAAAAGAAAAAGGAAATTCTGCCATTTGCAATACCATGGATGAACATGAAGGACATTATGCTATGTGAAATAAGCCAGACAAAGAAAGACAACTACTACATGATTTCAGTCATATGGAATCTAAAAACGTTGAACTCATAAAAGCCAGATAGAGTGGTGGTTACCAGGGGCTGGGTGTTGGGGGAAATCAGGAGCTGTTACTGTTTCCGTTATGCAAGGTTCAGCTATTCAAGATGAATAAGTTCTAGATATCTGATGTACAACATGGTTACTATAGTTAATAATATTGTATTGCATACTGAAAATTTTCTAAGAAAGTAGATTTTAAGTGTTCTCATCACACACAGAAAATATTAAGTGTGAGGTGATGGATACTTTAATTAGCTCTGATAATTATTTCACAATGTATATGTATATAAAACATCACGTTGTACACCTTAAATATATACAATTTTTATTTGTCAATTATACCTCAACAAAGCTGGGCAATGGGGGAAAAAAAAAGAGAGAAAAAGTGGTTTTCTCACACTTCCATTCCCCACTCATTCTAAGTCTATCAGGTCATGGGTGATTGCCCTTCTCTGGCTCAATAAAACTTAATTCTTTTTTATTGAAATAAGATGCCACTTTCAAGAACCAGGAGACAGTCTGTTCAAAGTGGTTTTCACACTTTTGTCCCCTATCACATCAGCCCAAGTATTCAAGAGAGAACTTCCCCACAGCCCACAGTGCTGGTCCTGAAGGAAGCTCCCCCCAACCTGCTGAGTTCTCACCTCTCGCTGCTGCTTACTCAGTGGCTGAAGACTTTTGAGGTTACGTTTCACACAATCTGAAACCAAGCCCTCGTAGGGAATACTAAATAATGGTCTAGCAAGGACAGGAGAATTCTGACTCTAGTATTACTTCCCCAATGCAGAAGTTATGGCCCCATGGTGAAATCCAGTTATAACTTCCTCTTGCTTTATTTGGAAATGGAAGATTTTTTTCCCTAGTCCCTTAAAAAAAACAACTGTAAGCAATATTCCTGAACAAAGGGCCCTGAATAAAGAATTTGTAGACTTAATTTATCCTACCTCGGTGCAACATAAAAATGGTGCAGTGATGGCCTCCCTTACTTTATTTTTTTTTAACTTTACCTTTATTGTTGAAAGTATTACAGATATCCCCCTCTTTCCCCCATCAATCCCCTCCACCTCACATCTACCCCACCCCCAAACCTCCATACCAAAGTTTGTGTCCATAGGTTATGCATATAAGCATATAAGTTCTTTGATTAATCTCTCCCCACCCACCCCATCCCCACCTTCCCTCTGAGATCCCTCAGTCTGTTCCATGCTTCTGTGTCTCTGGATCCATTTTGTTCATTGGTTTATTTTATTACATTCCACATATACGTGAGGTCATGTAGTACTTGTCTTTCCCTGACTGGCTTATTTCGCTTAGCATAATACTCTCCAGTTCCCTCCGTGCTGTCCCAAAGGATAAGAGATCCTTCTTCTTTACAGCTGCGTAGTATTCCACGGTGTAAATGTGCTGCAGCTTTTTTATCCACTCATCTACTGATGGGCACTTGGGCTGTTTCCAGATCCTAGCTATTATGAATTGCGCTGCTATGAACATAAGGGTGCATAAGTTCTTTCTGGTTGGTGTTTCAGGTTTCTTAGGATATATTCCTAGAAGTGGGATCACTGGGTCAAATGGCAGTTCAATTTTGGCCTCCCTTACCTTAAAATAACAGCCATATATTTATTACTTTAGAATAATGCCAGCTATTCCCACGAAAAAGAAACATCTTGATATGGTAGTGCCTGGGGGCTCAGGCACATTTGGGTCTTGGTGAGTATCCCTTATAATATGACCTATCACCAGTGGAGTGCCAACCTTTCTGGCACCAGTAGAAGTTAGGGGCAGGGGCAGAAAAGCAGGCCTGCCATAATGCATCTGGACGGGGCACAGGCACAGCTCCATGGCCATCTGAAGCCTTGGCACACTTTCTGTGTGTGGGAAAGTGTTCTGGATTAAAAACAGGTCATCTGGTACTGTAGTCACTTTAATAAATGACTAGACCCAACTACCTAGATGTATAAGAAAGTCAAAATGAAACCCTCATGTCATTAATGAGCTCATGTTGCATAGTTCTGGTCATCTGTGTGTAAAGTCATAGGTAGGTTTAAGTCACTATAAATAAGAAGCCATGATATTGGAGATTTATTTCCCATCATGAGAAATATTTGTGGGTTACTTAGCACAAAATAACAGACTGGTAAAATGATGTATCTCTACTAGGCATTTCAAAAGTGCAACACATCATATCATGTGCTCTAACTGAGGAAACAGACATTTGCCTGAAACTTGCAACACAAATGCCATTTTTCTAAATTTGATAACAGTTTTTATCTTGGTACATGAGGTGGGAGAATGGGGAGTGGATTAGGACCTTTACTTTCTATGCTCTATATTTCTGTGATGTTTTAATGTCCTCATAAGGACCATGTATCACTTTTATAGTTAAGCAATTATAATGAAAATCACTAAATAATAAATTCAATACAAAATTTAAAAATATATATTGTTCTACATCAGCGATTTTCAACCAGTGTGCTGCAAGAATCTTAAAACATGCAACACCTGACTATTTAGTCAGGGGCACTGACCTCTTTCCCCTTAGATTGTCAAATAAAAAAATGACAACAGCCAATACAATAGCCATCGGGTATGAATGAATCAGAATTATACTGGTTTGGTTTTGGTTTTTGTCAGATCAGCAAAAAATGTATTTTTTGATGTGCTGCAGAATTTTATTAATTAGTTTATGTGTTCCACAAGATGAAAAAGGTTGAAAATCGCTATTCTCAATTACATATGCTGAACCCAACTCTTGTTTAAAAACAAGACTGGAAATTATTTTTTAAAGGAAAACCAATTTTGATCTACTCAGTGCCTGTCCCTATAAAGACAACAAGGTGACTCTGATAAGCTTGCTCCAGGGATGCTTTCTTCTTAAAAATCCCATTTGGTTTCTCACTCTGTGACCCACTGCTTAATGAGCCAATTTAGTTGGCCTTTCCCCAAGGTTCATGCACAATTCTTTCTAAATAATCTCAAAGTTATTTGCTGGAGCAGGTGTTATTTTCCAATCAGCTCTCACCAAAGAGAAGCATAATAATTAACGACCTTTGGATCTGAAGAATTTAGGGTCTCATTTCTGGCAAAGGATACATGTGCCACACACACAGTAATGTTTCTGAAACTTGCTGTTTTACAAGGAGATTTGGACACCACAATAAAAGAACTCAGCATACTTTTAAATATTCAGTCCTTTTTCTCGGAAAACAACTCTTAAGGGCTTAGAAATTGTCACTCCTCACAGCCAGATGAAGCTCTGTTTTCTGCAAAACTGTGAAGTTGTGTTTCCAGAGTCCTCTCTTTCATTTCAGATCCTGTCCATGTTACCAGGTAGCTAAAGTCAGCTACACTATATATTCCAGACAAGGCCGATTGGTAATTCAACCTGCAAATTTAGTATTAGAGCTGACTCCTAAATTTGCAAGGTGTTAGAGACTTGAAAAGGAATGGCGGGCGTCCCATGATTGCAAATTGCAGACAATGTGAGGTCTCAACGTTCTCCAAGGTTAGTTTGATTTGGAGAAAAGGAGGTGTTCTTAAATTGTCCAAATTTAACAAATAGACGTTTTAGATGAAGTGCCTAAGTGTCCAGAAGTCCCCACACAGCGCCCTGCTGTGGCGCGCCGCGGGCCCCTGACTTGTCGGCTTTGGTGTTGCAGGAGTTCGTGATGATTGTCGTCTTCGGTTTGGAGTTCATCGTTCGGATCTGGTCCGCAGGCTGCTGCTGCCGGTACCGCGGATGGCAAGGACGGCTGCGGTTTGCCCGAAAGCCCTTCTGTGTTATAGGTGAATACCAAAGCCCACACACCTGGGTTTCTGCACCCTTTTCTTCCTCCTCCTGTATACATTTAATTAATATTAACAGTTAATGTTCGTGGAGTATTTATCACGTCAGGCATGCTTATGTTTTAAAAGTGTCGACTCATTGAATTCTCACCACAACGCTGTGGGGTAGGCATTTTTATTATCCCCATTTTACAGATGAAGAAACTGAGGCAAAGGGAAGTGAAATAAGTTACTAAAAGTCATATAGGTAATGAGTGGTGGCACTAGGATTGGAGCCAGGAGGTCTGGCTTTAGAACACCCACTTTTATCAATTAAGCTACACTAATTATATGGTTCTCAGTGTTGCCCTGAATTAGGGAAGCATTCATTTCAGTAAGCATAAAAACCCCTTTTCTCTATAATATGAGCAATATCTTTTTTATGCTTCTGATTAACTGGACTGGATACAAGTGTATTAGACCTGGTAAGACATGTCAATTAGTATGCCTCAAGATTGATTATAAGTTTATTTTACTTTATGCATTGGTAACTTCAGACCGGATCAAGTGTTTTACACCCTTAAATATGAGTCTCCCACCCTGCAGTCCCCAAGTAAGAATCACATCTCTGCACCTTCCTAGATGCTGTGGTTTCAGAGGGATTCCTTTCACCTCGGTACCAGCTTCAAATTATACTTCTTAATGAAGATACCCTATAGCATTCTGGAGTTAAGATCTGGATCGTCCAATAATATATTTTAAAGTATATCATAAAATTGAAAACTCTAGTAAATTATATCTCAATAAAATATTAATGTTTTAAAAAGAGTAAGTTGCCTACATCAAGCCCTTTATCCCTAGGTATTGCAATGTAGACTTTTTAAGAACAAAGATATTCTTTTATATGACCTTCAATAAATTGATACAACACTTTATCTAATCTACTGGTCAAATTCCAGTTTTGTCAACTGACCCAGTAATGTCCTTTACAGCATTTTTTTCCTCTTCAGTACAGGGACCAGGCGAAGATCACATATTGCATTTAGCTGTCATGTCTCTTTAGTCTCCTTTAATCTAGAACAGTCCCTCAGACTTTCTTTGCCTCGTGACATTTAGAAGAATATAGCCTCACACTCCCCCTTTTTAAAAAATGGAATGTTCTGTCTTTTGGAATAAAAAAGATCTATATATACCAGCTATTATTGCTATTGTTGTTATGGCTGTTGTTGTTATTTAACAGCTAAATCTGGTTTTCTTACTCTTTTTACCTTCTCACTTCCTTGGCCGCCATTCAAATCCAAATACTGAAAGTTCTTGGAGGGCTTACTTATTTCAACCATTTCCAATCTCAGAAAGTGGACTTTTAATCTACAAAGTAGTTTAGACTGTCTTCTTCATCCACAACAGATTTTTCATTTTGTTTTAGAAGTCAGGAGCTGCTGAGGCATCTTCTTAGTCTCCTCCTTTACCCCTGTTCCCTGTGGCCGGGGCAGAGTGAATTTAAGGAGGAACTGGAGAGCCTGTCTCCCCATCCGTGGGCACTGTTAAGAACAATCTTTTATCCCACCCTTGTTGTGAAAGAAGAGCACTGCCTTGGGGGCGGAAGAATGGGTGGGTTCCCCCCACACTCTCTGCCACTGAGGTAATTTCATAGTATGCACATTTCAAGAGTCATCATTTAGTCAATCAAACTTTATAGAAATTTGGCTGCGTGCAAAGCACTGTTGTAACAATAGTGAAATTCTAAATTAACTCAATATTAAAATGCCTTGTTTGGCCTCCGATAATGAATTATATTTGTCTAGCTGCCTCTCTTCTGCAAGAACAAACTTTCCTCCTCTTTGGAAACCATTGCTCAGGTATAGAGGAAGGGAGGTAGTGCCTCCTGGTCTCGCAGGCCCCCTCCAGCCCCAAGGCGTATTAGTGAAGGCATCTGATTTTTCTCCCTCGAGACTTTTTTCTCTTTGAATTCTCTGCTCAAGCAACATCACAGAGGACTGTAGTTTAATGTGAAACCACTGCACATCAAGTACTTTCTGTCCTATAAGGGGTCCAAACAAAACAATTCACAAGGCAGATGGTTCGCCAAGACTCATTCAGCTCCTACAGGATAAGGTTGGTTCATGGATGACTGCAGGAATGTTCCTCTCCAGGTTTTAAAACCAATTAAAAATTGGTTTTGTTCCAGTTCCAGAGGCAATGCCAATGTGCTTCTGGTCCCCAAGCTGAAAGGAAAGTTTTCTCCCAGATGCCTGCTGCTTTTCGAGAGCTGTTTTCAACTATGGATACATCAGCACATCTTAGTCCTTTAATCTTTCTCTTCCTGTGTCAGATCCTTGCAGGTTTTGATGTAACACGTGGTTCTAAAAATGATGTTATGTTATCTGTAATTTTAGACACTTTTGGACCTGTCAGTAGTGACCTTACAAATTTAGTATGTCATGGTTTAGGCATAGTTTCAGTCTAGTTAACTCTTTAGGCCTATTCTTCATTTGGATATTTTACCTCTAGTAAATTAATCACTTTGGAAGAAAATATCATGGATAAATATATAATGAATCGCTATTAGAACAAATATAACATTTGCACTTACGTTTAGGATAATTATACTTTTTTTCAGTCTTTTATTTAAAGTACATATAACAGTTTGATCCATGATCCAGCTGAATTGAGGTGGTAGTGACACATGTTNGATAACATTTGCACTTACATTTAGGATAATTATACTTTTTTTCAGTCTTTTATTTAAAGTACATAAACAGTTTGATCCATGATCCAGCTGAATTGAGGTGGTAGTGACACATGTTCAGAAGTGGCTCTTCAGTATGAAGTCAATAAATTTAACTTGCACAGAGGCTCCAAATGTCACCTGCCTAAAGGCAACAGGCTGTACCAGATGACACAACCCTTTCTGGACCTGTTTAATAAGTCCATAAAAATTATTGATGTCACCCTTAAAATGATAAAAAACAATGTACAGTGAACCTTATAGTTCCCTTGTTTGACATAATTTACTGTGATGAAATGGAAAAAGGAAGAACATCTCTTTCATCTGTCCATAACTGTTCTGAGTTGGGAAATGTAGCTAAGATTTCTCCAGGCTCCATGTATTTATAAGATTTGACTACTCCAAACATGCCAAATACACATCCGAATATTTTTAGAAGTCTTGAGCATTCAAGAAAAGGATATAGATAAGATTGTGATCAGCCGGCTAAGCTTTCAATGTGGAAAATGCTTTCTCTAAGCACACCAATGTTGTTCTTTCCAATAGGAAAGAGATGAAAGCTACCTCAGTGGTCAGCTAGTAAGCCTCCTATAGTATTGAGCCCTGTAGACCAACTGACAGTATTTGGGCAGTTTGATAGAGGGCCCACAGGTTAATTCCCAAAGACCTCAGAACTCCCCCTCCTGAACTGCCCACCCTCCTACCCCTGCACTCTAGCCAGAATCAGAAGTATTTCAAAAACATGTTGATTTAAGAAATCATAAAATCATTGTATACTTGTGTGTACCGGGAAAACATTTTAAACAGTTGCTTGCCTGAGGGAAGAGAAAAATCTATTAAATTTTTTAAATTAGGTGCTTTCTTTCATTACTGTACTTATTTATCTCTGCCTGGTTTGGGGAGTTTGCTTTGAAAACAGGTAAAATATTTTTTTTAATTACAAAATTATTCCTTATGCCTATATATTTAATTTACATCTCTCCCCAAAGACTCTGTTGAAATAACATTTCTACAGCTATGGGCAATAATCTTTGCCTTACTAATTTGGAGAGTCAAGTACATTTTGGGATGACTATCCAGGGTGCCCTTCATTTACCTGGGCTGGCTGCTTTACAGATTTTTTACATTCAAGCACAAATCACTCACTCAAGGACCTCAATATTGAAAATGTGCGAAATAACTTCAAAGACCGATTTCATAGTCATTCTTTTTTCAAGCTTTTATTAATGACCTACCTGAAAATTGCAAATAGTGCCAAAGGCTGGTACTTAGGTCAGGATAATGAGCCTGATGTGTCAGGAAGCCAACAAATTACTTCTAACAGTGGCTTGTTTGGATTCCCTGGTGACTCTAAAGACAGATACAACAGGCCCATATTTTTAGTCTTGTAGTGCATCTCAAGGAAGCAGAAAATACCAGCCTGTTATTAATCTTGGATCTGTATTTGATGCCAAATATAAGTTGATTCTTAATGCTATTTTAATAGTTTTCCTTCAGTGTAATATTTCCACAAGAGGACAAAAGAGGCAAACCACAGCACAGATGCTTCCCTCATGAATTGAGCACATATGCCTTTGACATGAGATAAGTCAGGAAAATGCCAACAAGTGAAATTTTTTTTAATGAGAAAAGAATAACCAGCTTCTTACTTGGCTAAAACAAAACCTGAAGCCTTTATTAAAATCAACAACACAGCCAAGGCCACTCTAATATATCTGTGAATTCATCTCATTAAAAGGCAACTTCAGCTGCTAATGTGTTCAAAAGTTAAATCAGAGATTCCCAGAGCTGCCACTGGTCTCTCAACTGCAGATCTGAGGCAGCACTGTTTTTGCTTCTCTGCCTTCTCCATCTTTTGTTCTATGGGGCATTGAATGTTGTTCTAAGCCTTTGAATTGCATCATTTTTTCTACCTTCAAATCTCTTTTCTCCTTTGGTAGAAATTATATTCTCTCGAGTTATTTCCTGTCTTCTTCTGCTTCTCTTTACTACTGAGTCTTCAAACTACTTCAGCACATGTAGACTCCTTCTGTATGATTCATTGGACTGTCTCAGGGCAGTTAAACCCTGATGGATTGATTGATCACAAAACATTAAAGCCATTTCAGTCCCTTTAGTTATTAACAGCTGGTGTTTATTAAGACCTGCTATATGCTAGGGACTGCTCTAAGCATTCTATAAATATTATATCCCATTTTGTAGATAAGGAAGGAAGGCAGGACTTAAGAGACTTGTCTACAGTTAGAAAGATGGTAGGTGAAAGAAACAGGATTCAACTATTTGTGATTTCACT